GGCTAAATGCTGGAACTGTGAAGAATCCCGTAAGTACACAACACGACACAATGTTAGTCGGTGCAAAACTTGAAGATACCATAGAACAAGGATTAGTCACAAACACATTTACTAAGCTTCGGCAAGCCTTTAGGTAGTCAACGGGGAAAACATCCATCCAATTCCGCAATTCATTTTCGAAGCTGAGGAACGTCATTCATCTCAGATCAATCGAATCAAACCGTTTCAACTGTTTAGACTCTGATGGACTCTGATGTTCAATCGTATATCGTATTTCATCAGTGATAAGGTAGAATCATTATCACAGTTATACTAGATACTGTCCCGGATCTGAGCCTTATCACCGTTTCCGAATTCGCGCCTTCATTTTAGCATTTCTTGACTGAATATTACATATCATAAGTTTTGCGTCTCTTTCGCTAAGCGACGGAAGACGATAACCGTGATAAGATCCTATCGCACGTTTTTACGATTTCTGCCTACTTACCGATCGGCTTCCAAAGCCGTCGGGAAACTAAAGAAACTTGCGTTCAACTTGTCAGCCGCAACCATCCAAACGGAGAAGACAGATCTTTCCTCAAAATCATCGCACTGCTCCTCAATGAGTAAACCATATGCTGACGGTTTCCAGATGAGAATCGGTGATTAAGTTTGTATCACTGAATATTTTATTAATATTTTATATGATCTGTTTCCCATATAAATTTTTTTATGTCAAATTTTGAGATGCTTGAGGTGCGAGACATTCCTTGACGTACTTCAGACCGCTGAAGAAACGCTTTCAAGGGTTCAAAGTTTCGTCGATTTTATCAGAAGCGTGATTTACACGGCCTTGTATAAAATGATTCTAATCATTGTAATATCTTGTAAGCAACGTCTCTACCAATTTCTTACCAAAACTCGTTAACGATTTTCAGCTAACGGGTTACCGGGATTCAGAATTTAGAAGCTGGTTCAGATTCAGATTTGGTCACCTTTTTGGAACTAAGCGGTCATGAACATATGGCTCATGCTTAAGATGCCAGATTACTGACGCATTTTGAAGAAGAGCATTTTAAACCGGAATTGTAAACGAATAATTGTAGACATTTTCAATACTTCGCGAATCGTAAATTTGCTGCATGTGCCGAAGGTCCTGCGCCGGTGTCCGACTGCCATGAAATTGCCATTGGAGAGGCTCACATGTGAACAGCGTTTGGAATCACTGCCACTGACGTCGTACGCTAGACAGAGTGAGCGATTCCGTGAAATGGCACAAGAGGCGGATGACAGAAAGGTTAAAAACTACTACCTCGGTGTAGCAAAATTACTCGAACAGTTCGACAACGACGAAAAGTACGTGCGAGGCTTCGAGAAGAACGCCGGTTCGGTCGAGCAGTCTGAGCATGGCTCGAGAGCAAGTCTGATTCTCGCAAAGGTCACACTGTTCTTCAACGTCTCACTGTTCGTCGCCAAGACCGTAGCATCCGCGTTGTCCCACTCCTTCTCCATCATTACTAGTACTGTTGATTCAGCGGCGGACATAACTTCTGGTTTGATCATCCTGGTCAGCAATCGGGCAATAAAACGGCGTGATCTGCGTATATACCCTCGAGGAAGAACTCGATTGGAGCCGCTAGCGTTGATTTTCATATCGTTCATCATGGGATATGCCAGTGTACAGGTAAAGTTATTTATTCATACTCTAGTCTTTTCGTTTCAGTTTCGAAAATTATCATTTTTTCTGTAAATACTAGAAAACAAGACTCTTTGACGGCCTTTCCTCAGCACTTTCGCCTTAAAAAACAGGATAATGTCACATTGGCGATTACTATGATAAGATCAGTGCGTATAGCGAGTGAAGTTGTACCGCAAATAGGCAAATCAGCTTAAGCTAGTTTACCGCCATTAAAACGGACGCCGACTTCGCGATGTCTCAGTCTTATGAAACGACGTACCATTAGTCCGAATTACTTTGGTAATTGGTAGTATTGTAGAAAGACAGAAACTGATCAGTAAATCTCACTTGCACTTTCTTCAGCATTGGAAATATTCTTTATGTATAACCTTGCCTGTCTTCCAAATATGAGAGTTCAGACATGATGAACAAGCCGTCCTATTTTCTTGTTGCAAGTGAGTAATAGCCAAAGTATAATTGTGGCTATTTTCTCAATTCATGGTTCAGAGAAATATACAATGACCATGATCATGAAAAATATATATGACATATTGTTTTCAGTTGGTCAGTCAGTCACGATGACTGCCTATCTCTTCGAGTGACTGAGGCAGACGCATCAGAAATGTCTCCACGCTCCTGTGCCACTGTTTGAGCTTAGGCAAAAAAATATACTGAGTCTGTCGAGACACTTGAGCGTGATCATTCATTGTCATCTCCGGAGTTTTCGGTCGGGCGGTTGGGTAAACAGTGCCAATTTAGCCTTCCTTTCTAAAAGAACAGTTTTCGCACCACGTGCCCAAACCATCGCAGCTTTGGATTCTCAATCTGAAGAGGCAGCGTCATAATGGATAGTTCATTGTTTGCACAAAACCGCAACAACTTTGTGCCGTTATTGTTGAGGTCGCTAGGGCCGTTTTTTCGAATCACCACACCTTTCAGTGTCTGCTCCGACATGGGCATTAAAATTGTCCAAGAGTATGAGAGACTCCGTATTCGGCACTTCGTACAGACCACACTCCACATCCTCAGGGAAGGAGTCATATTCGCCCTCTGAGTTGGGAGCACAGAATTGTAAGAAAGTTAGAGAATACTGCAACTTAGACCCTTTACCAGAACACCAACAACAGCCTTAGCGCGATCTGTGGAGGCGGCATCAGAATAAAATAGGTTCCACCGCAGTTCTTTAGAATTCTTTGAGAAAAGCCCGTCAATATCGAGGTGGTTCCTTACGGTGACGTGAAGCAGCGAGGAGAGGAGATGTTCGAATTTCCGACTTAAGCTCGCACTGTCGACATCGTTCCCGCGGAATCTTACCTGGCGTGTTCTAATGGCATCGCGCTGTGTGCCTTCCAAGTTCATAGTGGATAGCGACTTCACTGCCTTCTGGTACTTTCGTCAGCTTCGCGTCCATCCTCAGCAGCCGTGGCCTCATTGAGGCGACGCCCTCAGATGTAGCATGCGCGAAGCAGTTAATGATTTCCGACGTTTCCTCTTCTACCTCAGTTCTTCAGCAGTCTGCGTAGCTCTTGGTAACCGAGGCGACGACCGAGCTGGTAGATCGTTCGCTAAGGCACATGTGGGTAAGTGTTACGGGAACATTGCCAGGATGTCCAACTCTCCTCCTTTTTCATCCGGGTCTAGGTCCAATACCGCAGCATATTCGGCGTGAGCAAATCAAGCTAAGTAAAATTGTGCCATCAATCGGCTTTGTAAAACATGTGTCGTACTGCTGCAAATTTGACAGTACTTATTTGAATTTTCGTAATCGAAACTAGAGATTATCTTTTTAACGGCAACACCTGAAGAATTTA